ATGAAGGGACACATGAGTTTTCTCAGCTTAGTCCTTCTGACCTGTGTGTAATTTGCTAACATGCAGCTTGCTGTCAAGAAGGAGTACAGGCATAGAGATTGCACACCTGCCCTGGCCACCCTCCAGTATAAAGCCCAATGCAGGATAGGGCTGCCCCTCCTCATTTCTGAGACCTAATTCTGAGGGGAGTATTGAAACAAGCAAGTGTGAAACCGAAAGTCATTTTCTTAGCTTCTGTCCTATCACCTCATCACTGCTGCTCACCTTTGGTCTCAATTCTTTCTCCTTTCCATAATGAAAGTATTCTTTTATCTGTACACCTTCTTCAATATTTTTTATTTCAGGGCTGGCCCTGTGGCTCACTCGAGAGAGTGCGGCGCTGGTAGCACCGAGGCCGCAGGTTTGGATCCTATATAGGGATGGCCGGTGCGCTCACTGGCTGAGTGTGGTGCAGACCACACTGTGCCAAGGGTTGTGATCCCCTTACCGGTCAAAAACTAAAATAAAATAATAAATTAATTAAAAAATATATATATTTTGTATTTCAACAGACACCCTGTGTTCTGAGCCATCTCTTCATATGAAGAGACTTGGTGATTCTGGAGTAATTCTATCTAGATAAATCATCATTCTCTAAGGGAATGGCATACCATTTTGAATAAGGATAGGACAAGGTATGAATAGAGTTGCAAACTTCTAGGATGGTTCTTGTGATTTTTAGAAGAGCTTCACATAATTGATACTTCTGTCTCTGTAGCCCACATAGTATTGAGCCTGGGAATAATTCCTTCCAGGTTGTTGTCAGTGATTTTAAACTTTGCTTGTGTTTGATCAAGTTTGTAGAATACAGGAAGTTACTGTTTGCACAAATGACAAATTGCATAGAATAACCTCTCTCTGGCATAGGAAAATTGGTTTTATTTCGTGAGTTTAATAGAAGTATATACTACTACTATTAAGTTTTTTAAAAATTATTTTAATTTTATTTTAAATTGTTTTTTTAAAATTATTTTTTAGTCAAGTATATACTTCAATAACCTTGCCGACTTTTTCCCCCCCATGGTTGTCAAGGTCTGATATACCAAAAAATTTTTCTTAAGCTGCTTCTTTTACCATTTTTTCCACCCCATTCTTTCTTCCTCCGTCTTACCCCCACTACATCAAAAAAGAAAAAAAGAGAAATTTCTGTCTTGGAAGTGTGATTAGACAGAATGTAATCTAGTGTATTCATTGCTAACCTTTTGGTACTGTTCAGTTACCATTCTTGTTAATTATAATTAAAGACAATTAATGAGGCCAAGAAGAATGACATGACAGGCCAAAACATATTTTATAGATGGCAACTTTTAAAGTATTTTCAGAGCCATAAAGTGAAATGGATAAAGATTTTTTTGAATGTAATCAAAATTAATTTTTCAAAATTAGCTTAATATGAATAGGATTTAGTGATTCGTTTGCTACAAGAGAAATGCGTTTGCCTTCCTTTTGCTTCACAACAGTAGCTTTATCTCTAATAAGAATTTGAAATAATTTTCAAGCCATAGATGGGGTGATGCATGAGATGTTTTCAGATTGTGTTTTCCTCCTCTCTTGTTAGTGTCACTCTGCCTACTGTCTGTTAATCCCTGCCAAATGAGTGCTGAGAGAGATTTGTTCTCTCTGCCATAGGCACAGGTGGTGGTTTTCACTTTTTCACCAGTCTTCTTTGTTTTCTCCCAAGTATTTTTTTGTTAGCTTTGCCTTTAATTTATGCTGTGTTGGATTGCTGCTTTCTTGTTTCCACATTCACCTACTGCATAATAAAACAAGCATTTCCACACGGGTAATGCAATCGCAACTGAAGATTTTAAAGTGCTCCCCCAAGGAGTTACCACTGCTTGAGATTCCTGCTCCTGCCTTTGGGGACTTACACACTCCATTTGGACCTCTGCCTTTCAAGTAATGCAGAGAGACTGACTTTGCTAAATGACTCTACTATCCATGGACCTCTTGATTGCCTTTTAGTTAGCTGTGTACACATGAGTGATCTTTAAGAATGAAGGGTTTACAGGCTGATCTCTTCCACTGGTTTGCTTAGTGCTGATCATGCCTAATCATACCCCCCCCACCCCCATACAGTGTTGCCTAGAATACCTTTCAGGGGAAATTACGCTAGCAGAATACTGTAGTTGTTGACATTCCTTGGTTTCATCCAGCTCCTATGTATTCAGTTGCCTTTTAAAACTAGCAAATGACCTTTTCTACTACATCATCCCCTAGATACCAATCCAAGCCCTTAAATTCCAGAAAAGAGTATCCCTAGGGTTTAGCATTTTAATGAAAAGTTGTTTCCAAAGTAATAAACCCACAACCCCCAGGTTCACCTCTGTCACTTGATTTCTTTGCTTTCCGTGGATATAGAAGGCATTGGAGGACAGTAGTGTGGTGTAGTGTGTTTTTCCTGTATCACAGTGGAAGCATTTATGAAGCAATCTGGGATGTTAACATTATTTTTCTCTCTTTAAAAGATAAATAGTGTATTGCTTTGAGGATGGAGATGGAATGTGACTTTTAGGCTTTGAAAAATGTCTTTGCTGTTTTCATTTAAATAAAAGTCTTAATTCTTCCAACAAATTATTATTTAGCTAGAATGAGTATTAAACAGACAGCCCCATGAGTCAGACAGAAACATCAAGCCAGAGTTCTGATATGTATTTTAGTAAAAATTGGAAATAATAGTTGATCACTTGACCAGGGCTTTCTTAAAAGCATATGAGTGTATATTTTCAGCCATTTTCAATTTTATCTGCCTTAAGAACAAATGCAAAAACAGAGCATTCATGAGAGAAATAATTACATTAGTTTGTATCACAGAACTCAAAACAACACTAACTGGCTTGTAAATGTCTGGATATTTTTTAAGCATTCAGATTTTTTTGAGGATTGACTGACAGTACACAATAGTTTAGGAACTTAACATTCTTGTTAAATATTACAAAAAATAAAGTCCTAGAGAACTGAAGAGGCTATCACATAGATATTAGTTATAGATATTATTTCTAATATTAGAAGAACAAGTTTATTCTCAGATTTCTAGTGGTAAAAATAAATGAGATTAAGTGTTCTAAGGGTACAGACACAGTCAGTAAGTTTATAATATAGTATGAGCATGCTGTGCAGCATAGTCTTATTTTGAAAAAAGAAACAGCTGCACCTCTGTTGGGAGAAATAATGGGAAGGAGGGAATGTTTTGAGTAGCTTTGATTCTGTCTAATGTAATTAGCAATATAAAGCCAAGCCCCTTTTTTGTTAAGATTATACTGCAAGCAAGTTAATACAGTTGCTTTCCTATAGAATGTTCTTATTCCTTGAGGAATATCAGAGAAAACATGACCAGAATCCTTTACGTGCTGTTACACATGTAATTTTATATTCCATTAATAAAGATGAGTATGTTGTAGCTGTAAGGTGTAAGAGGCTCTGATTTTTATGGGAAATTTCTTTTTGGTGAATTATGGGGGAGCTTTAAGCAACTCTTGTCAATGAGATACTGAAGCGGGGAGTGAATGTAGAGCCTCAAACCGTTACTTCCTCATTCTTTTTTTTTTTTTTCAATAGAATACAACATTTATAGCTGTGAACATTTCTAAGATTTGTAGGATCCTTACTGGTTTTCATGCAGAGCAGCAATATCACATCCCAACCCCTGCTGTTGTTTATTTCAGCAGCAATTAAAATTTGATTTACTAATCCCTTATTGCTGCCTCTCCAACTACTCATTTTTCATTTTTGTAGAGCCTTAGGACTGTAACAGCTGAGCATCATGATGTTAACACCTTCTCAGCCATCTGGCACAGGGGAAGAGGCACCTAAACAGATTCTTCAGAACAAAAGTCACATATGAGCAAGATCAGAATAGTATGAGATCTAAAAAACAGGTAAAGAAGAAATGAAGAGAGCCTGAATGACAGCAAAGGTGAAAGCAGAATCCAAAGAGGTTTTTAATTGAAGGTCCTCCTTTTGCCAAGAAAAGAACCGCCTTTTACTTTCTAGAAGAAAATAATTTGTACTAGTGATGTCAATTAGTAAACGTTTTTTTTTTCCTTTTTGTCTTTTTTACTGACCGGTAACGGGATCGCAACCCTCAGTGTCGCCCCCGTACCGGACCGGGACCGGCAACGGGATCGCAGCCCTCGGTGTTGCTCCCGCACCTCGCTCAGCCAGTGAGCGGGAACCGGTCTGTATGTGGGATCCGAACCCTCGGCGGGAGCGCTCCCGCGCTCCCAAGCGGCGCACTCTCCAGTGCGCCACTGGGCCAGCCCAGTAAACTTTTTTTAATTTGAGTCTAGAGACTCTTAGCTAGAGGAACCAGGAAAACAAGGTAGCTTTATTTTTATCTGCTATCTTTTCATATTCTTGACATGTGAACCTGCTTTTGAAGAAATAATTAGTTCATTCTTTTAGATAAGAAAGCATATTACTGCCACCGCTCATTTTATCTTAATAGAAAGTCTCGTGGCGGTTACTATTGAGAGTAGTGGGCTCCCTATTTAAGAAAAAGGCATATTATCTTGATTCCTAATGCAGGAATTTTCTGTATTGACTACTGTCTATTCAGATAGATCTTTAATCAGTGAGTTGATTTGTAAATATGATTGCTCCTTTGTTCAACAAATTAACATTATGATTTTGATCTGCTTAGTGGCTACTGAAATTTTACTAATATGGAAGCTAAAAGGTGATTCCAGCTATTGGTGGCTTTTTTTTCCCCCCTCTTTTGGTCATTATTGTTTTTCTGTTTCTGTGTGAGGATGGTGTGCTATAGATTCATGTATCGGCTCATTAGGCTGAAATGAACGTAGCCAAGCTAACTTTTTCTCAGTGCTTTGCAGCCATTAGTTTAAAATTCAAAACAAAAACAAAACTCATTGGGACACTAATGTACTTGATTTTGTTATTGCTTGCTGTTGCTTTACTTGTCCTTCCATATCTTGCTCTCATGCTTCCTAATGCCTGAGCAGACTGCAACGTCAGAACGCCGAGGAGAGTGGGAAATCCAGCCCAGCCGGCAGACCAATACCTCATACCTGACGTCTCACTTGGCTGCAGACCGCCATGGGGGATCAGTGCAGGTACTTACTGCCTTTATTGCCTTTTCCTGGCCTTCCCAGATTGGCTGGTAGAATGTTGCCTTGCTTCTGAAAGTTGGGATCATTTAGAATGGAAACTTATAGCCAGGATGAGCTGCTTCTGTAGCTAACTGAATGTCTGTGTGTTGATTTTGTGCCTAGGTGGACTTAGGTAAGAGTCACATGTTGATGATTGCTTGTTGTTGTCATTGATTAGGAAACATCTATATGATTTCTGATACTGATTTCTGGTTAACCTAGTCCTACAACCTTGATGCACTCACGGTAAACCATAAAAATAATGTCAAGGGAGAAGTATGTTAGTGTCACATCTGTGAATTGTATAGACCTGAAACGTATAAAGTATTTTTTGGATAGAGGACTAAGGGCTGCATATATAGTTTATTTCATGATGATATGTGCCGTAGCACATGACAAGCTGAGAATGTTAATTGGTATAAGTCAGCTGTTTCTGAGTGGGTACCCAGTAAGTTGGGTTATTTCCTTTTCTTCTCCTTGGAATAAGTGTGGTCTTGGAAAATTATTTCTGATTTCATTTGGGCTGTCTTGAATCTCTTTTCTCTGTTTAGTACTAAGAACATCTTGTATCTCTTAACTTTTCTTATATGTGACTGTTCTAATAATCTTAACCTAAATTTTTTTTCATAATGGTAAGTGATAGCACCAGTTTGGGCATGCATGTTAATCCAGACCTACCAGACATAAATTCTTATAAAGGGGTGGAAGGGCCTTTTGTGTGTCGAAGTGCATCTTGATAGACTTGATCATCTAGGATATGCTTTTACAAGGAGTGATTCACTGAGAGATCATGTTATTCACAGGAAGTAAGTAGATAGCTTTTGCCTGCAAAAACCTCAAAGGAACATCTAGGAAAGAATGATGGATTGAACAGACCTACTTTTACACCCTCCTGAAAAAACACTAAAAGAATGGTAAAGCATAAATTCATACAAGGATGGAGAAGAAAACAGAAAAGAAAGCAACAGTAACAAAATGTTGCTGGAAAGCAGATGAGCAATTATTAAGTGACTTAAGAGTCCCAAGAAAACTGAATCCTGAACCAATAGAGAGAATTGCTGAGAATTAGGCCTGCTTTCACTTGGAGAATTCCCAAAAAGGCTCAGGAATTGGCTTTCTACAAGTGGAAGAGGGGCAGGGGGACATGTGCTAAAATAAGGAAGATTGGTTGGAAGTCTGTTTAAGAAGCCATTTAGGGGCCGGCCCAGTGGCGCACTGCGCTAGTGCGCCGCTTGGGAAGTGCGGCGGTGCTCCCGCCCGAGGGTTCGGATCCCACATACAGACCGGTTCCCGCTCACTGGCTGAGCGAGGCGCGGGGGCAACACCGAGGGTTGCGATCCCGTTGCCGGTCCCGGTCCGGTACGGGGGCGACACTGAGGGTTGCGATCCGTTGCCGGACACGGAAAAAGACAAAAGACAAAAAAAAAAAAAAAAGAAGCCATTTAAAAAACAGAAAAGCCATTGATCCCTAGATCTCTCTCCTCCCCAGCAAAGACCAAAGATTTATTCTATGGAGAGAGCAAAATAGGAGGTCTCTGGACGAGGGTATATGAGCTACAGTTGGGGGCAGGGTACTATACTGAATATTGGGAGGTTTAGTGAATGTGTACATACTGACTGCTTACTTTCCCCATTTAGAGCTTCAGAATGATGATAGCCAGGTCTGTACCTTCTGGGTAAGAGATTTAAAGAGTCTGCTCTGGAAAATCTGACCAGCCCAATAGAAAACATCTAAGGACACTGACAACAGGGTTTCCCCAGTGAAATGGCCCAGCCAGATCATCCTACAGGGCAGTCAACAGTTGACAGGTCCCACTCATGTTCTCACAGTGCCAATCAACCATGTAGTCCCCACTTTTAAATATGAGCGGACAATCAAGGGTTATCAGACTTCTGAAAAAGCCTTTAATAAGAAAGAGACCAAAGCAAAGAAACAGTAGCAATGTTTAAAAAAAAGAACATTCTAAAAACAGAACAAAAGAGCTCTTGGAAATTAAAAACATGATAAACAAAAATTTTAAGTTCATTCATTGGTTTGGAATGTAAAGTTGAGGAAGTCTCCCAGAAAGCAGAGCAAAAAGACTGATGAAAAATAGAAAAAACAACATAAGATTTGAGGAGAGTCCAGAAGGTTCAATTTCTAAATAATAGGAGTCCCAGAGAGAGAACAGAGAAAGTAGAAAGGAGGATATCATTAGCAAAATAACTTCCCAGGATCAAAGACTTGTTTTCAGATCAAAAGGACCTGCTGAATACCCAGCATAAAGGATGATAGAACCACACCAAGATACATCATTGAAATTTCAGAACACTGAGGACAAAAAGACGATCCTTCAAGTTTCCAGGAAGAGAAAACAGTCATGTGCCAAGAAAGGATCAGGAATTTGTATAGCTTCAAATTTCTGAACAGCAATGCTGGAAGCTAGAAAGTAATGAACAATGCCTTAAAAAATCTGAGGAAAAATCACTTCCTATCAAAAATTCTATACTTAATCAAAATGGCAGTCTGCTGTGAATATAGAATAAAGATGTTTTCAAAAATCTGTGTGTTCAGGGCCGGCCCGTGGCTCACTTGGGAGAGTGTGGCGCTGATAACACCAAGGCTACGGGTTTGGATCCCTGTATAGGGATGGCTGGTTAGCTCACTTGGGAGAGCGTGGTGCTGACAACACCAAGTCAAGGGTTAAGATCCCCTTACCGGTCGTCTTTAAAAAAAAAAAAATCTGTGTGTTCAAACAATGGTTCAGATCCCCTTACCAACCAGCCACCCAAAAAAAGCCACAAAAAACTATGCTTTCGAAAATTTTACTTCTTATGTACCCTTTCTTATGAAGCTACAGGAGGTAGTGTGTTATCAAAATGAGTGTATAAACCAAGAAAGAGAAATATATGGGATCCAGGAAACAAGAAATCAAACACAGAAAAGAAGCAAAGGGACTCCCCAATGTAATTGTAAAGTTAAGAGACCCTGGGACAACAGCTATAAGCCTGTAGAAGAACAGAGGCTTCTACTCTATGGTAATAGTGGGGGACCTGAACACATCTCTCTCAGCACTGGACAGATCATCTAGGCAGCAGATCAACAAAGAAACCGTTACTCTTTCAGAAGGAGAGAAGAAATCTAGGGTTATCAGAGGTGGGAGAGGGGAGGGAGAGGGGGATGGTGAGAGATTGGATAAGGGGCATGAAGATTAAGTACAATTGGTAATAATATATATGCTAATGATATTGATTTGATCAACATACATCAACATTGAACCCCCAAAATATGTATACTCAATTATGATTTAATTAAAAAAAATTCTTAAATATCTACACTTTATCCGGTAAATCAGTTTCAGATAAGTATACCCCAGAATATACATATAAATATATATTCTATTACAGTGCTGTTCAAAAGAAATGAATCACTTTTGTAATTTTAAATTTTCCGGTAGCCACATTAAAAGAGAAGTGGGTGAAAACTAATGTTAATATATTTTATTTAACTGTATATCTAAAATATTTCAACATGAGTTAATATAGAAAATATTAACGAGATATTTTACTTTTTTTAACTAAGTCTGAATTCTAGTGTGTATTTTACACTTACAGAACATCTCAGTTGTATTAGTTTAATTTCAGGTGCTCAGTAGCTACTATTGGAAAGTGCAGTTCTAAAATGTTTATTTCCAGCTTCTTTATAATATCAGAAAATCAGAAGCAAATAAATGTTTATCATTTCAGCATTAACTAAACAAATATAATACTTCCATTCAGTTGAAAGAAATAGATCTCTGCGTGTTATGGGAAAATGTCTAAGATATATTATTATTATTATTTTTTTTTTTTTTCTGTGTCCGGCAACGGATCGCAACCCTCAGTGTTGCCCCCGTACCGG